ATTGTTCAAAGCACACCTTCCAATAAGCTTCCACCACTAGCTCCAATGCCCGTCTCCATTCCTGAGCCATTCAGGAACTGGTTTGCACCCACCAAGGCTGTCCCAAGCAGAGAGAGAGAGGGAGCTTATCTCCACTATGACGGGTACAGGAGAGGGTGGTATGCTTCTCTCTTTTTTTTTTTTTTTTTTTTGACAGTCAACCCTTGGCATTTAATTAAATTCTACTTCTCTCTGAATTGCAGAAGGACTCTCTTGATGAAATGACTTCCAATTACATCATTGCTCCCTCTGCTAGAAGACTAACCCTTATAAGCACCACATGCTAACCAATTGGGCCACTGAAACTACAAGACTAACTATGAACTAATATTCATTAAAAACCAGTAACAGAACAAGAGGAGAAAGAGTTAATGAAGTATTTTAAATTACTATGTGTCTACTCATCCCACAATTCCACACTCAATGTCACAGTCACCTGGTTAAATCAACAGAAGATTTACTATTACATTCTTAATTTAGAGATTTATCAAGAACAGAATTTTATATGCTAGTTTCTGGAATTTTTGTTTATTACCTCGGAATCCAAGCAACAGTACTAACAATGGTCCTTTGTCTCCTAGAAATGAACATAAACATTTTATCATCCTCTTAATTTAAACATGATGGCACCTATCTATTCTGGCTCCAATCACATGGGAAAATAAAAAAATGTAATATTACTAGCAGCGGTCCCTAACCTTTTTGGCACCAGGGACCAGTTTCATGGGAGACAATTTTTCCACTGACAGATGGGGAGGAGTGGCTGCAAATACAGATGGATGAAGCCTTCGCTCTGCCCGAGGCTCACCTCCTGCTGTGGTCCCCCTTCCTAAGTTTCATGGAAGACAATTTTTTCATGGATGGGGGAGGGAGCAAGGGTGGCAGAGCTCTACAGCCCGGTCTATGGCCAGGGAGTTGGGGACCACAGATTACTAGAACAAAGGTTATTGGAAAAATGAGAACATATACAAAAACTTTTTCCTGTTGATTTATGGTGAAGTAATGTTTAAATATTCTTCCATTAAATTAATTACAAATCAAATAAATGTGTATACAACCTCAATTTTAAAAACAGATTGTCTTTCCAAGTAACTAAACATTTACCAGAGGATTCACATGGACAGGAGAGAAAGGAAAGATTTGCTGGTCAAATATACTACAGGGTGTCCCAAAAGTCTCCATAGAAAGGAAAACTTTTGTAATGAATATTTTGTAAATTAAGGCACATTTAGCTAAAAGTTCCCATTTTCCCTATGTACGGCACACCCTGTAGTTCAATAATTCCTCTAGAAGTTGAGACTTAAAATAGCCACATATAGGGAACCACATACATAGGAAGTTTTAGCTCAGTAATGAAAACTTTTTCATAATCTCTCTTCTCCCGTAGCCAGATCTGTGAGAGTTATCTCAAGCAACACTGGTATAAAAATGATAACCCAACTTTAATTCAGAACAGCTTAAATATGATGAAGTAATATTGGAAATTATGGAGAACTCTCAGGTAGAAGCCAGAACTCTGTTTCAGGAGACAGAAGCAAGCAGATGGTTAAGAATCTGTTAGAATTTGTTGAGTCCCATGCTAGGGTTTGAATCCTGGCCACTACTCAGTAGCTAGAAACCTTGAGCAAATTTTGTGACCATTCTGAGCATCAAGAGTCATGATTGTAAAGATTGTGTAAGGCTATCTACGGTCAGTGTCTCTATGTCTACCACCATAAAGAGAACTCCAATGCCCACTGTTATTGTGACAAGGACAGGCACTCTGGGGAACCAGCAATGTCTCCCAGATGAATCTAAGTCTACCTGGGACCTGAGCCAGGTAAAAGGTCACTTTCAAGTTAATAATTGTACCAGTCAAGATTTCTATCTAGATAAAACATATGGCACCAAAAATTACATTTTGTTTGGTATTTAATTATTTCATTTGTACGGAAATGTAAAAGAATAAAAATGGGGTAAACAAGCAGCAAAAACTGCATCAACCATGGAGCATCTGGTTTTAAGCATTCTGTTGCAAGCATGTGTTTTTCGCTGCAGTGTATTTTTCCTCTAAGCCCTCAAACTATTTTTTAAAGAAGGAAAATATTTCTCTTTAAAGTTACAACTAGCACACAGAAGAACCACAGCTGCTCATTCCTCTTCTCCTTGGCACGCACTACCTGCCACCAGCACCCCCTCTACTCCTTGTTCTGCTCCTTGAGAGCAAAGAAAGGCCCTGAAGGCACTTCATCTAGAATAAACTCCCAATTCTTAGCACACCGTTGGCAGTCCATGTTGAAGAGGGAATGTGTTCACCCCACACTCCTCATGGCTTCTCTTGCCACTGGCCAGTCACTGGGTCATTAATGGTTCCCATTTGCCTGCTCTCCTTTTGAACACAGAAATGCTCACCAGGTAAACTCACCTGCTTGCTTAGTGACTACCTGTGGTTGCCCATAGGAACAGGCCAAAGACTGCTTACGGTGAGTGAGAAACATCTGTTTCATACATAAAGTCACTCCTACTTGAATGGCTTTGGATTAACAGAATCCAGAATATTGAGGAACGCACCTTTGAATTAGCAGAGAAGTCTATGTGGCAGGTGGGTGACCTTGTACAAGTTTGTGTGTGGCATGGTTTCTTAAAATGTGGATAAAAATAACAGCTACCTCATAGTATAAGGTAATGATAATAATAATACCAGCAGCAGCCAACATTTGAGTGCTTACTCTGAACCATGAACAACTGGCTGTAAGCACTTTACATGTAATAAATGAGCTAAGACACAAGAAGCACTAAAATAGCCATTACTGCTATTGTTAAATTTTTTGATTTAGCATTAGACCCTTTTCCCCAAACAAAATCTTACCTAGACTAGCAGTGTAAAACAAAAAAAAGCAGAGCTGCTCTAAGTATAGCTGGAGTTGGGGAACCAGGCCAATAGGTTCCTCGGTCCACACGGGGCATTCCTGTCCTCCCAACACCAGCCCCTAAGGACCACCAAGGAGTCCTGTGGCCCCTGAGAACATGGTTGAAAACTTGACCATCACCACTAAACAAATGGAGATGGGCAGTGGTGGAGAGAACCACAGCAGAGCTGAACCAACTGGGACAGTTAATGGCCTGAGGCTGGCCAGAGGCAAGAGCCAGAACAATTGAGGAGGGGGGTGCACACATTGCCTCCTCAAACACGGAAGTCTAAAGTGTGCTGCGAATTGTGAGCTTATTACACTGTAAGACCAGGTCTCGGCCGCCTGACAGGTGATGGTGTCTTCTCTGGGCTTCAGGCACCGCACTAAATGATCTTCAATGCCTCTTCCCCCACCTAATATTCTGATTCAGACGGTGTCTTTCCGGTAATATTGTGCCCAGGTGCTTAGTCCATGATTCTCCAAATCCAAACACTTTTAACAAGGAAGAGTAAAAATATGGCTACCAAAAAATCTCCACCCCTACCTCTTCTGTGGGTTTTCTTCTATTGTCCATTTGCTTTTACTGTCAAATGTTACCTGGTACTATTTGCTATTATCTCAAAAACTAATCTTGGTCTCTCTCTTGCCAAAATAGAGGTAGTAGATAAGAAAGCTGTTCCCATTTTAGCTTTGGCAATTGATTTTAAAACTGTTTTGTTTTTTGGCCAAACATAACTGGCAAAGAAGAGGAATTATGCTCCTAAGTCTTCAGAGGTTATGTTTTGGAGAAGAAAAGTTTTCCATAACCTGATCCTTGAATCACAGTCTTCCTCCGCTGCACACCAACTGCAGATCCTACAACTGGAAAGAATTCAGCCTAAGCTCACAGCACTGGCACGCCCTGAACTTGGTGCAGAGAAAGGAAAAATTACCGGTGATTAAGCCGGGAGTAGGCACCTTTCTGCCTCCCAAACCAGCTTTTTCCAGCTGTGGTCCTACCTCCATTTCCAACTTTCCTTTCTCTGCCAAACTAAGGCAAGGAGAAAAGAAAATAACATAATAAAAAGTTCAAACGAATACAATAGGAAATAGGAAATATTTAACTAATTCTATAATAACCCAAGGTGCAGAAAGGTTGAAAAATGAGTGTGGGAGGTAACTCAATCACAGAATTCTAGACTGGGAGGGGCCTTATGGATCAGCTAGCCCAACGCCCTCATTTATGGATGAAGACAGAGCAGTTGTGACTTCTATCCAGACACTCCCGGGCAGAATAATGTCTACACCTCATGTCCTTACTCCCAGAACGGTGCTGGCTATGTGAATTAAAAGCTCCTGCTGGGCCAAGTGCAATTAATAAGCCTTCCTAGCACCAGACAACTTCCCACAAACGCTGCGGTACCTGCAGCCCAAACTCTGTAAACAGGCGGCCCCTCAAAATTCACTAGTGGGCTCACTCCCCTGGCGCGGCCGCCAAATACAGGACACGGGAATGCGTTCCATCAAAACTGAGAAGGGGCCACCATGTTCACCTTCCTTGGAGTTGGGAAGGAAAACACCCTTCATCCCTAAGCGGGAGAGGACCCAGCTACCAAGCCAGAGGTCAGAGACGCCGAGACCCAAGACTTGCGAGAGCGACCTGCTGCTGCTCTTGTCCGGGGTGGATTTTTTTGTTTGTTTTTTTTTTTTGAGCCCGCGTTTTCTCTGTCGTTAGTAGGTCTGCGAAGGTGTGCGCCACATCCTCTGTCAGCAAAGCGCGAAAGCCGGCAACTTCCCTCCGACACCCGCCGAGCTCGGAGGACCCGGCCCCCTCCCCGGCGCAGGGCCCGCCCCGCCCCCGCCTGGGCTGCCCCGCGGCTCCGAGGGGACCCCCACCCACCGCGTAAGGCCGGCTTCCTCCTTCCAGGAACCAGCCTTTCCCGCCCAGCCAGGCGACCTAAACCGCTCTGCCCCGAGGGCGACGAGCTCCGTATTCACCTGCGACCCGGCCCGGACGCGGCTCGAACCCCGCAGGTGGAGGTGCAGCCCGTGCCCCGCGCGTCACTCCTCCCCGCCCCGCCCGGGGCCCACCTGAGGCGGGGGCGCGAGGCCGTTCCCGCTCCCGCGCCCGCGGGGGACTCCTCGGCGCCGCCATGCCGGCCGCGCGCTGGACGGGCGCGGAGCCTCGGCTGGTGGCTCTGTCAGACGCGGCGGCCACCCGCCGGCACCTGGGCTCGCTTCCCTGCGGCGGGCGGGCACGGAGGCGCGGGGCGGGGACGATGACTGACGCGCAGCGTCACCAATCAGCGGCCGAGATGGGACGGGGCTGGGCCCAGGGGGTGGGGCCTCCGCACACCGTCTAGGGCGCTGGCAGGGGCTGCGCGGGGGCGTCCCGGGCTCTGCAGGGGGCCGGGGAGCGGCTCCCGGGACTACTCCTTGGGAGACATCCTGGGAGTTCCACCTGGACGGATCCCAAGACCTCCGTGACACTTTACACCGAAGCCCATTGAGTGGGAAGCAAAGAAACCTGGAGGGCTGGCTGTGGGGGAAGAGGGACCGGGCCCCTTTGCTCCCCGCGGCAAGACGGCGGGACGCTCCCCCAGCTCGCCCGGACCCTCACCCTGGTTGGTTGTGGCCTGGGAGGGCGAGACTGCCATCCAGATGTAGCTGAGGCCCGGGGCCTGTTCCCCTGCATTGGGGAAGTTTTCTGATCTTTCTCTCTCTCCGGGTCAGCAGAACCGGGGTTATGTTTCCTTCGAACTCACAGTTTAGTTTAGGATCAGGAATATGTGCTTTATCGACAAAATTAGTCATCTTACAAAATGGTTTATCAAAAGAAAAATACATGGGAGTAGCTAACTGTAAAAGTAAACAGCTCAACTATCAAAGGGCGCGCACAAGGTTCTCCACCCCACCCCGTCTCCTAGTCAGATGGGCCCGTTTTAAGAAGAAAAAGGAAGAAAATGAAAATCCTGGTGAACACTTCCTCTTTCTCCAATATGCACAATTCCAGAGACAAAGAGACTTGCATGTGAAATGTTTTGGCACCTTTTGAAAAAGAAGTTCCATAACTAAAGAAAGATGTGGAAAACAGGCTGGAATTTTCTGTGGCTTCAGCAGCCTTAGGGCAATGTCTACAAGTAGTTGAATCACTTTCCTCCCTTTCTTGAGTCTCAGAACAAAAGATTGAAGCATCACACGTCTTGGTCCTCGCCAGTAAAAGTCTGCGTCGGAGCAACAGCAGTGAACATAATGCCAGGCATTAACTGACAGCTGGCCATGTGCTTTGCCTTTCACATGTATTATTTCATTTAATTCTCAAACTTGTCCGTGAGTTAGGTGCTGTTATCTCCAGTTTACAGATGAGAAAACTGAGGTTCAGTCAGTGCTAGTACAGCGTTTGAACCTAGGTCTGACCTCTCAACTGCCCAACCATTCTGCAACCCATGATTCACAGAAAATAATAAAAATGTTCCCAAACTCTCCTGCATGTTTAGAAAAAAAAAATCCCTTTTATCCAAATCAGATTTTTAACATCAAGGGGTAGTTTTCTACAGCCATAAACCATCGCTTGCGTGTATAGAGGCATGTTACCCGCACAAAATAAATGATTTAAAATTGCTGAGCCCAATTAAACCTAAACAAGGTTATGAGCAGTGACAAGTACAAACTGTCTATTCTAGAAACTGAAAATACCGGGACTAATTTCTTGCGGTATAATAAAACGAAATTTACTTAAGTCCTTTAACCACAAACAAATTAGACAGTTCCCCTCTCTCCTCCCACAAGATAATATTTATGAACACAGCTGTTTATACTCAGCCTGAAATTCTTTTAATTAATTCACATTTAGGATTTTGTGGTTGGCTGTAATGTCTGTTGTTACTCCACAAGCTGAGAGGCAAGACCTAAACCTTGGAGCTGGAC